GTAGGAGATGGGGGAGGGGGGGGGGGGGAGGGGGAGCTTTTGAGCCAGATGATTTAGAGCCGCATGGCTGTGCTGTCGCCACGGACTGTGAAGGTGAGGATCTTATTTTTGCCCCTGACAGAAAAAAAATCACCAACCTTACCGAGGTTTCGAACCCGGGTCTCCCACATGGCTGTCCAGCGTTCTAACTGTTCGACCAGCCGCTCCTCTCTGCTAGTTCTATTAGTACTAAATGCAGATATTTTTAGACACCTTACTGCATCATGATCATAACCCATACACACCGGAATACTGGTTACTTTGTAACTGTTTTTGTGGTGGAGGGGTCTCCGTGGCGAAGTGGTCAAGCCGTTTGCCTGGCGATCTGAAAGATATAGGTTCGTTTAACGGCGGCGCCCTTCAGTTCACGAGTGTAATTTTTACGGAGATTCCTGGGATCGTCGCAGGAGCTACGAATCTCGTGCTTTGTGCGATGCTCTCTGCAGGCGACTAGTCGATCTGCGGGGAGGAACCGAGCCATATGGGATAAAACCCGGTGAAATTCAGCCGATCCTCTCGGTTTTGTAACTTTTACTTCTGTTTTGTGGTGCCAATATATATATTGTTACCCCCTATTTGTAGGATTAACAGCTCAAGGATGAGGCTTAGACAAGTACAGATCCATGAAGCACCGTTCAAGCGTATAGCCATTCAGCATATATATATATATATATATATATATATATATATATATATATATATATATATATATCTGTACTTGTCTAAGCCTCATCCTTGAGCTGTTAATCCTACAAATAGGGGGTAACAATTATTTGTACTGATAAGGGCTAAACACCACTAAGACTGTCTTTCTAAGCGAGCTCTGTAAATGTACTGAATGATACAGTCTGTGTCAAAATGAACGAATGCCCATGCTACTATCATAGCGTTGCCATGCGCAGAGGCGTAGCTAGGTAAGGTGGAGCCCGATAGAGAAAATTTCCTGTCACATCCCCTCCCCCCTCCACCCAGTGACATTGCTAGGTGAGGTGGTACCCGGTGCGAAAAATTTCCCGTCACACCCCCTCCCCCAGTGGCATTGCAAGGTGAGGTGGTACCCGAAGCGGATATTTTACTGTCACCCCGTACACACACACAAACACACTTCCGCGCGCACACACACACACACACAACACACACACACTAAGACATACTGTTTTTGGTAAAAATACATATTTTTTGCTATTGGGCTACCCCTTTCAATTCTAATAATTTCTTGATGCTTCGCTTTATCAAATGCTTTAGTGTAATAAATAAAGCGTATATACAGATCAATGTTCGTTTTGATCATTCGTTCCGAAAGTGTTCTCAAGAAAAATATGGCGTTGTTTTGGCCATAACCTTCAATAAAACTATACTGCTTTTCTCAAATTTCGGGTTTAAGTTTGCGTATCGTTCTTCTTTGTATAACTCTCATTAATATTTAGTTTTTGTGACTCATTAGGCTTATTGTCCGATGTTCTCGACAGTCCATTGAATCCGGTGTAAAGGTAAGAAAAGAGATTTTTTCCCCACTGCTTCATGCGTATTGGGCATATAAAGGTAGACCTATATTTTATAGACCAATTGGCACTTGGTGGAAGATGTTCACTTTAAGTATGGAGAAGAATTATTCATCGACAGTGAATTATTAACCAGTACAACACTTGAACAAAGATTTACATTTGAGGTCTTAATGTATCGTAAGACAGAATAATAGACCCCATTTCAGTTTAAATATCCACAAAGTGAGATGACACTTCTTCTTTTTCTCTTCCACCTTGTACCTCAGCGAAGTGTTGGGGAGAGATGTAACGCTCGTTGATGAGCTCTGTCAAGAGCACTGTTAAGATTGATGTTCATTTCTGTAAGGTTGTTTTTCATGCCATCACTCCATATTTTATGAGGTCTTTCCTTCGCTTGTTACCCGTTGTAACGTTTTAGTGTGGCTCGCTTTGGCAGATAGTACCAGGGATGTGCAAACCACTTCATTTGTTGTTCTTTGATGGCCTGTAAAACTGGCGTTATTCCTAGCATACGTATGATTTCGTGATTTCATATTCTGTCTTTCCTTTAAACTCCTGCAGCTCTTCAAAGGCATTTAATCTGTTGTCACAATATTACGATCATTAAAGGATGCAAGAGTATACGTTTGACACTGATAGCATACTGTTGTTAGATGACACTAACTAAATGCTGATTAAGATGATTTTTAAAAGGGATGTGGTCAGACAGGAACAATACGCAGGAAACCAAAGAAGAATACCCACTGCATTTTACATTTCAAGAGAGAAAAAAAAACAGACTAAAGCGTTAGAGCCCCAACCACCTTGCTAGAGAACTGTACAGACAGCACCGAGATCTGCTTGAAAGAAATGTAGCACTGTGCGAAAAACTTGGGCCAGAACCACGGACAAGCAAGCCAGAGAAGGCGAATGTAGTCCTAAAGGTACCAGGGATCACTTCAAAAGATGCCCAGACGGAGACACAACAGAGAACCCTGGCTCTTGCTATGCTTGACGAGAAGTATCCAAATACCACTTTGACTCAGGTTTTCACCGACGGCTATGCTACAGATGTAGTCAGAAAAAAAAAAAGGGGGGGGGGGTTGTGGAATATACATTAAACCTCCTAGCAGTAGAGCAGAAACTCTCTCTCTACCAGCAGGTGACATCTGCACTATCTTTAGAGCTGAGGCAACTGCCCTCCTTTCTGCAGTCCAACATTTCATCAATCAAGAACACAGAGGGCACAGAATTGTTATACTTAGTGACTCATTATCTGTTCTCCAAGCACTATCAAGCAAAAAAAAAAGACAAACTAATTGCAGATCTAAGGACCAACACTGGCTTACTCTCCAAGGAAGCAGAACTGGTCTTGCAGTGGATACCAGCCCACTGTGGTATTCAAGGTAATGAGAGAGCAGATGAGTTGGCAAAAGCTGGGAGTAATCTTCCACAACCTCATCCACCACACAGCTACAAGGAAACCAAAAACAGCTCTAAAGCAGTCTTTCAAGCGGGAGTGGAGAAGGCAGAATGGAGATTACAGACCAGAGAGTTACAGCATATTCAAACTCAACAGGAAAGAACAAACAACAATTTTTAGACTTCGGACTGGACACTGTGGTCTTCGAGCACACCTGTACAGGATTGGCATAAAAGAATCTGCTGCCTGTGATTGTGGAGCAGAAAGACAGACCCCTGGGCACATACTACAGTACTGCCCTTACCTCTCCCAGCAAAGACTGTGGATCTGGCCCAGGGGAGCCACATTGCAAGAGAAGCTATAGGAGACCGGTGACGACCTTAAACGCACAATCCTATTTGTGACCCAGACCAGGGATGCCAATGCTGGGTTTTTTCCCCAAGATCTTGGTTTTTTAGTTGCCGTCTTGGTTTCTTGGTTTTTATTTTGAAAATTATTGAAAATCTTGGGTTTTCAGTCTTAATGATCAAAAAAACTACAATTAATAAATATTCTAACAAGAATAATGTGTGTACACATTTCTATAATAGTTTTACCCGCAAATTATATTTTGGAATGTCCTACAAACACTTAAAATAAACTCAGTGTAATTAATGTAACATAATACAAAGGTTAACTCCAGGGCTATTCAGGAAAAATGTAGCAGACCACCAAAGGACCAGATTTACGATCCCCAAGTAGTGTCCCTTAAGAAACAGATACTAGGGGCGGAGAAGCAAAATAGATGAGGCCTGGGACTTTTGATCGTAAACTTCACAGAAGAAAGAAGGGACCTGACATTTAATTATTGAAGAAAGTTTGGGAGGCTTTTCCTCTCTTCTAGGGGGCTATTGACTAGGTTTTTTTTTTTTTTTTTTGCTGTGTGTTGTGGTTTGTTGAACTGTGCTATCAAAATTTACTCTGATTATAACCTTGTTGAATTCAAAATGAGTGAACAGATTACACCATCGAAGAAAAGAAAATGGTATGCTTAGTGTTTCAAAGAGGAATGGCAGTATTGGTACCAATTGAGAAGCATAAAAGATGGCTTAAAATGTAAAATATGACATTTTATCCGCTTTTATGACCAACGTGACTATTTTGCCTCACTCGTCAGCAGCGGTTGAGCGCATATTTTCCCTGAGAACTGTATCAAAACTAAACAAACAAATTCTCTGAAAGCTGACATCATAAAAGATCGAATTCTTGCAAGGCAAGCAATCACAAAAGGAAATAGGGACTGCACGACATGGACACCTAATATAGAATTGCAAAAAGAATTGCAAAGTGGCGCAGTTAGTCAAAGATATTTAAACAGAATGAAAACACAGAAAGAGACGGTGACAACTGAAATTGGTGAAGGAGAGCTGTTAGAGTAACAGTTTAATAAAGGTGAGTATATGTTCAGTTTCATAACTATAAAATACTTTTTGCACAATGCTGGGTTTTTTTATTTTATTTTTTGTTCATATCTTGGGTTTTCGTCAGCCCCATCTGGGTTTTTGACAAAAATCTTATTGGCAGCCCTGACCCAGACGGGACTCAATGTTTAGCATGACTGATGTCGAACGCAGAAGAAGAAGAACAAAGAAGAATAGCAAACTAACACAGAACTGGTGTCGTCGGCCACTATAGGCTGCAGGATTTACAAGCAAGGGGATCTAAGCACTTAGGCTATGGACTGAATGGTTTGATGTGCAATGAGGATAATCTGAAGACTAATTAACTAAGTAACTGACGAGGATGATGATTACATGCGCCAGTTATTTATAAAACGGAAGTTACACTTTTTAATGTTTAATAGCAGACGTTTCAAACAAGCAGACGAGTAGAGGCGGTTGAAGAGGGATAATTCTTACTAGACTATAGTTTGAAAAAAAAAAAAAAATCGTACATTGGTGGTATGAAAAAAATACTAAATAACATTTGCAAGTGTCACATGCAGTGAGTGGGCATATTACTGGGTTCTCACACTGTAGCAAATAAAACAATTAGGTGGCAGGCTAGCTTGTACGATGAAGCCCCGAAAACGAGAAACAGGAGCTCAGGTGAGCCGTGATTGTTTTGTTTTAAGGGCTGCACCTTCTGTTATGATTCTGGAATCACCCTATATAAAATAGCAGGTGTTCTTGCCAAGTTTTTGAAAGTTTTCTTTAAGTTTGTATAGTTAACCAATCTAAACCGACTTCTAAATTTCCAATTGGCCACCATCCTTTGCTCTGAGAGCCCTAAGCACATCTTTGTGCCGTATCATACTATGATTTCGCATAGCTTTGTCTAGAGATGTGTAACATTTCTGTTTTTACTATCTAATATTTCAGGTGTCTTATTTACATACAGCTGTTGAAAGTATAAATACCGTAGCTGAACAAGACGACCTCTCTAACGGCAGAAACCTGACTCACACTGGTGGCATGCAAGAATAAGAACACTCACGCATAACCTTATGTCACAGAGAATGAAACAAGAACACCGCAAACACCATTGACCACAAACATAACCGAAGCTTACATAGAAACAGGTTGAGTGTAATCTAAGCTATTACTTTGTTCCCCCTGGAAAGAACAAACAAATGAAATACGGCCGCTCTGTCCCACACTGCCCTAAAAGCAGTAAATACAAGCAGGAAAGACAGTTTTCTACTTCACACAACAGGTGTAGTTTTTATTTTGTGGAAGTAAAATTTAATAAGTTCAAAGGTGCTAGAGATAAGTAAAGTAAGTAAAATAAAGAACCATTTTTTAAATATGTTAATCTTATTGGGTATATAGTACTAGCCTTGTATCTTATAAACCAGTAAGAACTTGATGGGTGATGTGGTCAGCATCATGCCGGCTCCTTTACTTCCCAGGACTGTATCTGGTATCCATTTAAGGCTGGGAGCCAACTTCATTTAAACAAAAAAAAAAAAAAAAAAAAGGCAAGTTCCATCCGGACCTGAACCCAGGGTGTTTGGATCCACAGGCGAATGGTACTAGAGATGCTGGGATCCAAGTATTGTTAACAAGATGCTGGGATCCAAATATTGTTAACAAGATGCTGGGATCCAGGTATTGTTAACAAGATGCTGGGATCCCAGTATTGTTAACAAGATGCTGGGATCCAAGTATTGTTAACAAGATTCTGGGATCCAGGTATTGTTAACAAGATGCTGGGATCCAAATATTGTAAACAAGATGCTGGGATCCAAGTATTGTTAACAAGATGCTGGGATCCAAGTATTGTAAACAAGATGCTGGGATCCAAGTATTGTTAACAAGATGCTGGGATCCAAGTATTGTTAACAAGATGCTGGGATCCAGGTATTGTTAACAAGATGCTGGGATCCAAATATTGTAAACAAGATGCTGGGATCCAGGTATTGTTAACAAGATGCTGGGATCCAAGTATTGTTAACAAGATGCTGGGATCCAAATATTGTAAACAAGATGCTAGGATCCAGGTATTGTTAACAAGATGCTGGAATCCAAATATTGTTAACAAGATGCTGGGATCCAAGTATTGTTAACAAGATGCTGGGATCCAAATATTGTAAACAAGATGCTGGGATCCAAGTATTGTTAACAAGATGCTGGGATCCAAGTATTGTTAACAAGATGCTGGGATCCAGGTATTGTTAACAAGATGCTGGGATCCAAATATTGTAAACAAGATGCTGGGATCCAGGTATTGTTAGCAAGATGCTGGGATCCAAGTATTGTTAACAAGATGCTGGGATCCAAATATTGTAAACAAGATGCTAGGATCCAGGTATTGTTAACAAGATGCTGGGATCCAAATATTGTAAGCAAGATGCTGGGATCCAAATATTGTAAGCAAGATGCTGGGATCCAAATGTTGTAAACAAGATGCTGGGATCCAAATATTGCAAACAAGATGGTGGGATCCAAGTATTGTAAACAAGATGCTAGGTTAAAACAACAGAGCAGATATAGACCCCATGGCTAGTTCAGTTGCTATAAAGTGTGCAAGTTAGTATTTTTATTTTTACTTTCAACAGAACAAAAATTGTCATCACTTTACCCAAGATTTGAACCCACGTCTCACAAATGAGAGCCCAGCATTGGCCATCCCCTCCTCTTGAGAGGTGGAATTACAGCAGTAAATATGAGTGTATCATCAGAGGGAGAAATAGATACATTGTAGCTAAACTTCCATTGTGAAGATGATTGTTTGATGTTCATCATCATTTTCTGCTACTTTTTTTTTCTATATGTCCTCTTTTACCGCTTCAGGTGTTGAGGGAGGAATAAAGTCCTGCTTCTTGCTCTTCTGGCTGCTTCATCATAGACACATTCTAGTGCTGTAGAGTTTCTCTGATGTTATCCTTCCATATTGTTCTTGATCTACCTCTTGCTCTATGTTCGTCTCCTCTTTTGGTATATGCCTTGAATAGTATAGCATATGAAGGCATTCTCTCCAAGTGGGCAAACCATTTGATCTTTATATGTAATTTCAAATTGGTTCTGTGCTGACTTTATCTCGTATGACCCCATTCCTGATTTGATCTCTTCTGGTCACTCCTACAGTCTTTCTCAGACACCTCATTTCCATGGTCCCTTTATATCTCATTATATTTGTTGTAACGGTAGTAAATCCATTGCCAGCTTGCTAGGCCTGTCGCAACTTGACTGTTATTCATTTTTATAGACTATTAATTTCATGTAAATGATAAGAATCTGTATCTCAACAGCTTCTTGCAAGACTGAGCAGTCGCATTGACCTATCCAGTATTGATTCTGATGTCTTCAGCAAAGTTCCTGCATCATCATCATCAGTGTCATCAGCTAGCAAAATCATTGAAATTTATGGAGCTGAAGGAGTTGGAAAAACAGAAATGATTCTTCATTACATTGCTAAGGCTTGCCTTCCATCAAACTGGAATGGATTGTCTCTTCCGGGACTTGGGGCAAAGGTCATATTCATAGATACAGAGTTCAAATTTTCTGTTTTCCGATTGGCTATTGTGTTGGAAAAACAAATATTGGCCATTCTTGAAACGTTGAAGCTAGATAATAAGAACGACTTCAGTATGATGAGAAATACAGCGTCATCTTCACTTGTTGGTTCATCAGTAGCTGAAGGAACAGATTCTAAGGTAGGAACATTAGGTCTTAAAGAAAATGCTGTGGGAGACAGTGAGGTGTCTGATAAATGCACACATGAACCAGCAGCAAGTAAAGGTGGTAACATTGTAATGGACTGTGGTAGAGAGTCTGTAGATGCAGCTAACAAGTTTGATCAACCTCCTGCTTCTCACACTGCTGAATGTCATGGAGGGATAACTTTAGAACAGTCACAGTCTGAGAAACACACTTTATTAACAGCACAGGAGATTGAGGATCTAGTGCAGGAAGCATTAGGTGAGTGTTTGGTTTTTGGTTCTTTTCTCATCAATAAGTTTTTATTGGGAAACAAAGACATTTGTAACTTAATATTCATTTCCTAATGTTATTGTCTTGCATGTATCAGTAACAAAAAAATATATATATTTTTGCAATTTTTTTTTTCTTATAACTCTTTGAGTCCCAGGGGGTTTAGCATCACAGGCCCAGGGGGTAGTCAAGAGAGTCATAAAATTGGTGCATCATGCGTTTATTGGGCTTCTAGGTAGGAACCTATGAACGTATGGTGCATTCCTTGGGACTCAAATAGTTAAAGGTAAGTTACAGTTGTTAGTTGTCTTGTTCCACATTCAGTCATGAGCAGAACATAAATTAAACCCTGACCATTATGTTGATATGCCAGTGTATGTTCCAGTATGACATGAATATGGATGCTCATTAACCATCTCATTATAAGTGTATTCAAATTGTGACCTATTTAGTCATAGTAAAAAAAAAAATACTTTTTTTTCTAGTCTGAGGTGAGAGATTTAAAATGAATGAGTACTTTACTTACCAATGTTTTTGCTAAATCGACTATATTCTTTGAAATTTTTCTGTGATCTTTCAAGTTCAGACACCTAAATTTTCCTCCTTATTGTTCATGAAACTGTTCATAGTTCACATTCGTATATTACATAAGGAAAGATGTTAAGTTCACAGAAAGTGTTTGATGTTCAAGAGTTATTGTTTGCTTTATCCTTACAGCACCCAACATACATCCTCAGCTAGATTCCCTTGTCAGTATATAAATTGCACATCAGCATACCACAGCTTATAATGCCAGTACTGTTCTGGTTAACAAGTAAAGTAAGATCCCTTGTCACGACTTTAGGCATATGGGAAGAGCACCCATATTTTTAAGACTGATCAGCACTAGATGGGTAATGTGGTCAACATTACGCCCTGGCTAACAAGATCTCTTATATATTTTCTGTGTTTTTTTTTGTGGTTTTGCTGAGCCTCACTCCCAGTTTTACTGTCGTGCCCTAAATCTGTACTAAGAGGAAATAAGAATCCATCCAAAAAATGGTTACCGAACACAGGAAATGGTCTTGAAAAGTCAGCGCAATAACAAAAATGCTACTGTTGGTGCTCTTATGCAGGTTGTATCATTAAATCAGCTGTCAGTAAGTTTGATAGGTAGCTTATAACATCAGCTGGCTATTTAGTGATTTCATTTTGATGATTGTTGACAATGGCTGATTTTTGATAGCATTTTGTAGATATTGGATTTAATAAGTTTATTTAGTTCATTTGTTTATCTGAGTACCTGTATTTTACTAGGTAAAGGTAAAGGTGAGAAGATCGACTTCATTGCACAGGGTTTTATCCTCAATGGCGCAGTCTCTCTTCGCATAACAGCTAGCTGCCTGATGAAAAAAGCCGCACTGAGCAGGAAATCAGTAGCTCCGGGGTTGATCCCCAGGGATGTCCGTAAAAATTAAACTCGTGAACTAAACAGCACCGCCTTGAAACAAACCCTCGACCTTCAGAGCGCAAGGCAAACGGCTTGACCACTTTGCCATAGAGGCAGTTGTTTTTTTATCTTATCTTGATATGTCTTAGGAGGTGGAGCATTTGAACTGTTATGATTAAACCCATCATTTAGGAGATGGAGCATTTGACCTGTTATGATAAAACCCATCATTTAGGAGATGGAGCATTTGACCTGTTATGATGAAACCCATCATTTATTTAGTAAAAAAAGTAAAGTGCCCTTTTCCATACTCAGCGGCACATGAACCCTTTTGCCCCATAAGAAAATTAAAAAGTGACCTTTTTCAAATTTTATTACAAAGAAATGCATTCTTATAACTCTCTGAAACTCCATCCTAAGAAACAAGAGGAAATTTTGAGTCTTGGCATGTTAAAAAAAAAAATCCAGGGAGTCAAACCTCATGACTACCAAGCACACTGACAAGCCTGAAGGACACAGCTTCTTTGTGTCTGTAAAATCGCAAAATAGGGGGAATTTACAATTTTTTTTTAAAAACTCACCTTAAATAACCATTTGAGGCAAAGATCATTTTATAAATGTGAAGGGAGGTAACCAGTAAATACGAACAGAACAAAGAATTAACTGTTTTCCTTCTCTTTTACCCTGACAAGGATTTAAAAAAAAAAACTAAAGTGTGTGAAACAAAGTGACATCATAGTGAGATAATTATGAGTAATGATAATGTCACAATTTTTCATTTGATGGATTTTCCCCACCCCAAATAATATATAAATTTATTTCTTTTTGAGGAACATATCTAGATTTTGTCTATATGGTGAGAGTTACTTCCCATCCCATTTATGCAGCTGCTGGTCACAGGGCCTGTCCTGTGTTGTGGGGGTGCAATGATATGGCTTCGTTCCGCGTTCACTCACCCTATACAAAGTTTGTGGGAGGTTGTGTTGTCGTGGGTCTCTTTGAGGTGCCGCAGACGCCTGTATAACAAGTAAAAGTACTGCTGGGGGAAGTGCCCCAGTCACGACAGTTCATGAGTATCGAAACTGGAATGTTTTTGTATTTCTGCATTCCTTGGCGGTGGCTTTTGCCCCAGTAAAAGAAATGATAACCAAGGAAAGTAGAAATACAAAAACATCCCAGTTTCGCTACTCACGAGCCATCACGCAAGTAGTACAACATGCCAGTAATCTCACAAGTGAGTGATGACAACACGAGAAAAGAGAGAACGGTTAAACCGTTGAAAATAAGGAATACATGACACCGGTTCAACATACGACATGCTGTGTGACCGTCCACGGCATGAATGGGAAGGGAAGTAACTCTAGCTGTGCGGACAATATCGAGATAAGAACCCTTTTTTTGGCGAATATAATCATACTCACCGCATTTACACACTGTGCAGTTTCAACCAGTAGAAAGGCTGTTATTTGATAAAGTGGGCCCTGCTCAAAGACTTCATGTCATCAAAAATCTGAAATGGCTTTCTAGGGGCAACAGGGTTTAATGTGTCATTCTAGCCTAATCTTTATTTAATAGACAGCTGATGACACATGATGTATGATAGTCATTGTCAGGCTAGCTACCTTTTCTTCCCCTAACATTTCTAGTTACCCGTTTTAGACTGAGCTGACCTGAATGTTTTTCAGTTTTTAAAAATCCCTGTCTGGACAAGGATTCGGACAGATGAGAACTGTGCCAGCATATAATAGCTATTTGTTATTAGTGCTACTGTAAATATTGCTGCTGCTGTTTTCTGCTATGGCTGCTATTTTTCAAACAATTCTGCTGTTTCTGTGTTTTGTTTCACTGCGTCCTGACTGCTGTACCGCTGTTATATTTCTGTCTTTCCATAATGCAAGGAAAGGAGCAGGTTGATAGACTGCTGCCACTGCTCTGGGCAGGGATCTGCTTTATGAATAAGCAGACATAGTTAAGCTAACTGAGGGCTAGATGCATATTTCAGCACATCAGACATAGCATCCATGTCCGGTGAGGCTGATTTAGTTGAGAGTGAGTAGAGCAGGCATATCAAACTGGCGGCCTGCAGACCAAATGCGGCCCTTTGCAAGGACACATGTGGCCAGCACAAAAGAAATATTCTGCAATAGTTTTTATTAAATGAATGCAATTTGTTGTGATGTGTGGCCTTCATGGAAAAACAATTTGACCCATGTGACCCTTAGAGGGTTCTGTTTGACATGCCTGGAGTAGAGGATCTGAATGATACTCTGTGTCTGAAGGAAGGGATACTTTGATTAGCATTAACCCCTGTTTTCAACACTATTTTGGACTTTAGTCAGGTTACGGTTCATAACTGTCACAAGTGTGCTCATTTCTGACATTTCTCATGATTTTTTTTGCAACATATATGAAGAAAACATCATGAGAAATGTCAAAAATGACCAGACATGTGACAGTTAGGAACTGCTTATAATTGGTGGCAGCACTGTTCTGGAACTTTGCTACACAGATGACACAGTCCTCCTTTCGAACAGTGTAAAGGGAATAGAAAATTTAATATTGTCTGTCCAAAAGCACAGTGAAGATCAAAAGCTATTCTTGAATTGAAAAAAAAAAAAAAATTAATGTCCACAGACAAAACTGGCTGTTACCCAAAAATAACAATAAATGATAAAGAAATTGAAAATGTCATAAACTTTGAACATCTAGGCTCTATAATAAATAGCAACGGTAACTGTTTGACAGTGATCAAAAGGACGATGGCCAAGCAATGCAAAGATTAAACAGCATTAAAAGTTTGTGGTCAGGCAGCTGCAAGAAAATCAAAATTAAATTTTGTGAGCCTGCATCTTCCCTGTAGCAACATACGGATATAGGCCATGGACTATCTTCCAGTCCTTAAAAAGAGAATAGGGACTTTTGAGTTGAAATGCTATGGAAAGATTCATAGAATATTATGGACAAAGAAGAGGAGAAATACTGACATTTTAAAAGATCTGAACATCAAGGAAGATTGCCTATTAAACAGCATCTTGACTCGGAAGCTGAAATATTTTGGTCATATCAAGCGCAATGGCGGATTTGAAAAAAAATAATAGCATAGGGCATGGTACCAGGAAGGAAAGGCAGGGGCCGACTAAAATGAAAAATGTCCTAAGTGCAATGATATTAATTTTATCAGAACACTATTGCTTCTGTTGTTACTACTGCTTCTTAATGTATTGAACTACTAAAGCTACCAACTCCACAATGACTTGTGTCTTCTTCTTCTCTTCCACCTTATACATCATCGAAGTGTTGGGGGGTGATGTAACTTTTGTTGATGATCTCTGTCAAGAGCACCATTGAGACTGATTTTCATTTCTGTACGGTTGTTCTTAATGCCATCAGTCCATATTTTCTGAGGTCCTACACTCGCTCTATACCTGTTGTAACGTTTTAGTGGGGCTTGCTGTGGAAGATAGTACCAGGACATACTTGTTAGGTGTCCAGACCACATCATTTGTTGTTCTTTGATGACCTCTAAGACTAGCTTTATTCCTAGCATTTGTCTGATTTCGTGATTTCCTACTGTCTTTCTTTGAAACTCCTGCAGCTCTTCTAAGGCATTTCAACTCTGTTGTCACAATTTTACAATTTATTGGAGGATGTATGTGTCCACGTTTGGCATTGATAGCATAGTGTTGGCAAAAAAAAATAGTTCTGATAAGATTCACTTTAGTACTCAGGGGTGCTTGTGTGTCAACAGGGGAGATAGTTGCCCCATTACTTGATTAGCTTTGGCACATCTCGAGCTAATTTCTCTGTCCAGTTTTCTGTCGGATGTAAAAATTGCTCCCAAATACTTAAATTCCTCTGTTTGTCTTTAGGTGTTGTTTTTTAATTGTATTTGTAAGTTGACTTTCTGTCTACCTATGACCATTATCTCTGTCTTTGTAGTGTTTATTTTCATATTATATTCCTCCCTTTTGTTACTAATTTGATTTAGGAGTTTCTGTAGAATGACTTGTGTAACCATTATAATCTCTACATTTATAAATGTAACTAATGTGGACTCAAACAAATCACTGCACAATTTATTGCCACTCATATTTCGCTGCGTCTCGTCAGGTGCATTACTACAGAGTTAAATCAGCATAAAAGTTATTCCTCTTAGTTGAATTACATAAATCACATTGTCAAGTTAATGAACACCACTCTCATGTAACAATATGATTTATGCATTTGAAAAAAAAAAATGTATGCTTCATTATATATTGCTTTAACTGTGTAGTAATGAACCGACGAGATGCAGCAGAATATGCCAGACAATAAATTGTACAGTGTATTGTTTGTGTATGCATTAATTAAATTTATAATGGGAAAACATTGTTTTGATTTTCTGTAACTCAAGGTGATGAGTTCCTCTGTATTTTTCAAGCACCGTGTTATTTTCATCCCCTCAGGCAGAGTCCAAGTACTACGTGTTGTCAGCTCTGACCAACTGTTCATCTCACTTCTGGCACTGGAACACATGCTATCCCACGACCCCCTCCTGTCCCTGATTGTCATAGACACAGTGTCAGCTTTCTACTGGTCAGACAAGCTCGGGGACTTGGACAATCCTGGTTGCATACAATCCAAAATGTCTCCAATTGCAAACATCATTTCCAAATATGTCTCAGACTTTGGCGTGATATTTCTAGTAACTAAATCAGCACTGGTTAATCGTAAACAAGATTGGGTTGATCAGAGAGATAAATATCAAAGTGGTTGTGCTTCGTCTTCTACTGATGATCAAAGTTTGAAAAGTGGAGTAGGTCGAAGTGAGATTATACTTTCTGAACATGTGGAGTTTTTAGGGAAGTCATGGTTACAGCTGGGGAAGAAAAGACTTGTGCTGACAAGGAGTGTTGACAGAGTAGGTAGGGTTACTAGAGCTGTTGCCTGCACAGATTGGCCAGGGGTTAAGGAGTTTTCTTGTTCAGATGATGGGTTTCAGTTTTCCTGATGTGTTTTGATGTTATAAATTGTTGTGGGATGTAAGCACAACAATGTCAGGTGATATTAGAAATTACCAAGTTTAAAAAAAAAAAAACAATTAGTTGTCATCAAGTGAAATTAGGAATTGCCAGATAGTTTGATTAGTCATCATCAAGTAAAATTTGGGGCAGGCAACGTGCATGGGGGTTCACAGTGAACTCCAAGGGGGATCCATCAAGGGAGTTAATGTTGGCTGCTGAAACAACAGAGCCTGTGCACTGTGCTGAGCTTCTTCTGACTCAGACTTGAGTTAGAAGAAGAACGTAGCACTGGGTTACTACACATGTGCCATGATGTTGATCCGTTGTTCAAACCTCAAACCTCTAGATCTTTAAACCGCAGAAACAAGCAGTCTCACAATAGAAACTGGCTGCCTCAAGGGAATTAGCATGGCTGGGTACTCCAGCGCTCACACATGCGTACATACTCAATGACTCAGTGAACATGCTTAAGGACCTCAGATGAGAACGGATTTTATCACTAAGCACAATGACTGGCATCACCTTTATCTTTGTGCCGGGTCATGTGGATGATCGAAGCAATGAGCAACTGAGGTTGCCATGACTAGTCTGGTACAGGACAGAAGTAGTATCATCAGTGTCATCTGCAACATTTATCGCATAGACAGATACAGCAAAATGCATAGCTTTGTATTCCTGTCCAGGCTGAGGGACATCGTGTAGTGCAGCCTGGAGCTGTCTGTAAAAAATGAACATTTCAATAAGGCCACATAACGTTTGATTAATCAACACAGAACAGCATTATTAGTCATTTAATGCTTGTGGAGCTATTAAGGAGTTGGGAGCATTATTGGATCTGTCCAGAGTGCTGTGATGATAATCCTGCCTAATGACTAAGTAAAATTAGGAATTACTATGTGGTTTGTTTAATGTTCGATTAAGAATTGACATCACACCACTTGGGACATTCCCATAACTGCTCCCTCACCATCTTCAGCAGCAAGTGCAGAGTTCCAATTCCGATGATATCAATAACAATCTGATATATCCGTCTCATCTTTCCCTGAGTGTTGATTGTCAGCCGGATCCCCTGGTCACTCTTCACAACACCATTCACCCCAGAACAGTTTTCACTCAGCCTCAAAGGGCCCTTACAGTATCTATCTTGTCATGCATCACTTCACCACCAAGTTGTGCAGAACCCGCCAGTCTATCTGCTTGTTCATCCCTCAATACACAGCATACCCTCGAGAAAATATCCAAAGGTCTCAACTACCCGGGACCTTTGAAGCAATGCTTTTTGTTCTTCATGGAGCATACCAGTCTCCACCTTTCTTAATATGCTCGGTGATTCAGTTACTATTGCGACATACATGTGTGTTCAGCTGATTCTCAAGCCAGCGAAAGGATGCAGTGACTCCCTCCACCTCTGTTCTCAAACTAGATGTTGTGATGTCATATGCCAGGCTTTGTTGTACTAAGTGACATCCATTCGTTTTTACTAAGAACCCCCATGAATTTCATCTGCCTCTCAACACATAGCCATCTGTATAGATAATCACATCACCTGGGTGAGAATTGTCATGAATCATTTGTTAAACATCTGATTCTGCAGCACTATGATGTTTGATAAGTTATTTAGTGGTACTTGGAGTTACCATATGGTTTAATAAAAGAAGTGATATAAGGAATTTTGTAGTCTTCTTCTTCTTCTTCTTCTTCTTCACTTCCTCTTTTACCGCTGTGGGTGTCGAGGGAGATATAAGGTTCTGTTTCTAGCTCTTCTGGTCGCCTCGACCATAGGCACATCATGCTGTTGTAGAGTTTCTCTGATATTATCCTTTCATATTGTACTTGGTCTACCTCGTGCTCTACGTCCTTCTTCTCTTTCCATGTATGCTTTGTATGGTATGGTGTCACAAGGCATTCTAAGTGGGCAAACCATTTCACTTGCTGTCTTCGTATGTAATCCAGAATTGTTTCTCTTCCGACTTTTTCTCTTATGATCTTATTCCTGATCTTATCTCTTATGGTCACTTCTACAGCCCTTCTCAGACATCTCATTTCCGTGGTTACTAATTTTCTTTTATGGTTTGTTGTGAGTGACCATGTCTGGCACTAGTAGCACAGAGTTGGAATAAATATGCTTTGAATAAGATGTCTCTTTGTGCTAATTGGGATTATCTTATGCTGTAAGAGGGGAGCTAGCTGTCCTAATACTTGGTTTGCTTTACTGCATCTAATGTTAATTTCTTTATCCAATTTCCCATCTTCGGTAGATATTTAAACTCAGATGCCTGTTTAATGCCTTTGCACTCTATTGCTATGTTTAGATCTGTCTTTTCTAGTGATTTTAGGAATTACCATGTTTTAACAAGTCATAACATGATATTTTGAGTTATGTGGCTAGATAAGTGATATGTGGTTTGATATTAACTGTTATTCAGTGAAATTCAAGTAACTTTGGTGTAACTTTTATCATATCATATAGCAGGAAGAAAAAAAAAACAGGAGGAGAAGATGCCCTATTATGTGTAGTAAAAACCAAATGTCTTGTAATGACATTAGGAAGTGTCCTTTTAATCAGTTTTTCATCCTCACCTTGCTGTTATTTAAACACTTTAAATGTGGGGGCACTTATGGAACATTCTCTAGTACTGTAGTAATAGAAGCAGCAGTAGCTCGAGTGTTAGTTTTGGTCCTGATGATAGTGCTATTTAATTTTCTTTATTGGTGTCCACCGAGCTTAATTTTTCTGTGCTATCTGCACATGTGACTTAGGGGAGATGAATGCAGTTTCATGATTCTGAAATACTTGGTTTGATTCAGCTGAAGGCTGTTTAGTAACAAACCACTCTGTGTTGATTTTTGACAACAGTGTGATTATCGACCATTCAGGAGACAATGGCAGACTACAGAATGTAAAATTGCCTGGTAAAATAGCACCAATTCTTCCTGTAAAGGAAATGCCAATAATGTAACGTTTTTTTTTAAAAAATTAAACATTATCTTAATTTCCGTTTAATTCAGTTTGTTTCACTTTTTCTTTCTATTTTTATTTTCTTCTATGATATTTTTTACACAAAAGTTTAAAACATTTCTCTTTCCCACCACTCCCCCCTTTTTCCCAATTAATATTATTTATGTGTGGCCACTTGTTAACTTTTTGAAAATAAAGTTTGCTATTCTGAGGCTTAGTTATTCTTTTAGTTTTCGAAGATAGTATTCTTTATTATTTATGTTTCCTTCAGTGTCTGTCAGTTCTTCTCTCCATATTTATTTGTCTTCTTTCACTTGCATGTCATCTTTTTCCTTTCTCTCTTTGTTGCCTTCTTCTTCATTTATATTTCCACCTGTTCATGTCTACTGCCTACTTTATGTTTTGCCACTACCATACATTATTTTCTAATTCTTATTCCATCTTCTTAATCAAATAATAAATCAGCTATTTAGATTGACTGTAGACAGAAATATCCCAGTGAAAGTTGATGATGAGTGGAGTACATGAGGAAGTTTTCTGAGTAAAAAAAAAACATTAAGAACCCTTTCTCACACTATGAGGCGTTTTTGAATATATGGTGCTATCCTTACATATTAGCGCGACATCTGTGGCCTAGGCGGTGCGAGTCTGACTTGTAATTCCAGTGTACTGCGATCGAAAACCACTGCTGGCTGCCGGGTTTTAGTTATGGTACGGGGCGTCGACCCAGCCTAAATTTGGTACTAGGATGGCTGTGCTGGGGAAGTAAAGACGGCTGATGTAATGCTGACCACATTACTCACCTAGTGCCAATTGGTCTGTAAAAATATGGGATGCTCGTCCCATATGCCTGATGCGCCTAAAGGCATGAAAAGGGATCTGTACTTTAGTTTACTTTTACTTTATCCTCACATATTTAAACTGATTAACATTCTGTAGATATGATCAGTGTCTTGCTGATCACTTCCTGTGTGAGTTCCAGAGACCTATTGTGGTTGGGGGGATAGACCCACTGCCTGCCTAACAAGCATGTCATAAGAGTTGACTAACTTGGGATTACCTTCTAAGTTGCAGTGCATCTGCCTGAGCAGTAACGAACCAGCAGTCTTCATACATGTAAAACAAGTCTGTAAAATGTATGCACACAGCAATCTCATTCTGGAACAAGACTCAAGTTCAAATTATGCAAAGAAGAAAAAGATGATCACTTTTATTTCTTTAAAAAAACTTCTTTGAACACATTTTTGACAGGGTCAACGTGAGATTCCAGCTTACAGGGAAAAATACCTGTTGTAATGAGGGATTGAACACATCATGTTAATGAGCTTGTTGGCAAGTATTTGGTCCATTATGCTACCTCGGTTTCCTGGAGTTGAACTCTTTCAGTCTCAGTTTTGTTCTCTTCCCCATCCCCCCCCCTACCCTCCCCATATTCCTCTAGAATCCCTGACTAAATATAGGGATGAAAACATATGGTGAATTTCTGTTGTGAAGAACAATTTATTTATCCTTGGCAATTTTTCTTGCTTGAATTCTTATTTCGATTAGAGGAATTTCTGATAGGAGGAGCTGTTTCTTGGGTAACCAGTGAGTTCTCCTGAGTCTGGTCTAGGTCAGAAGGGTGTCACGTTGCACTGTATAAATAGAGTAGGCCGTGGCTCACACTTTGGGTTGGGGAGCGGGCGGGGGGGGGGGGGTGTTAGTTGTTATGGAGTAGTTCAAAGCTGTGTCGGCGTGTAGTATAGAACACGCGACATCGGCGCTGATGTAATTGAAGGCAATACAACGTGACACCCCTCTGACGTAGAACAGTCTGAGAAAGTATGAATGAAAGGTCAGCCAGTGTTTAGATGGGCCAGGAAACGTAAATAGGACTGATATATATATTGCTTTTGCACAGTGATATTTGAAATATCCTTGGAGTGATATTTGAAATATCCTTGGAGAAAAAAACAACGAAAATGTGTGAAATCACACAAGATACAGTTTTCCCAAGCATCTTTATTAGTAGCAAATGTTCTGCAAAACATATGAAAAATGTATACAACACATATAGGCGTGACATTCTGTACTTTCAAGGAATAACAAATATTAAAACATGGCCAATCAGAAAGTTTATATACATATGGAATTCTTTAATTACAGTGATATAAACATATTAAAAAAGACAGCAGTAAAAAAATATAATATGCGTGGAGAATCTACAGTCAAAATATACAAGAGATAAATAGTACATTGTGTTTGTACACTTATGGCTGGCGGTTTTGTTCTGAACCAGTGATGTGTTCAGTTGTTCACTGTGTTGTGTTTATGGAAGACACTAGCATTGCTACCAGGACTGTGGTAAAAGTGTGACAGGAATGAAGAAATAATATAAGGTTTATGTTAAGTTTGTGCTTAGCCATAAGCCGGCATCCCGACATTACGAAGCGCGTTCGCAACGCCTAAGACACAGAATTTGTGCATTGATATCTGTATAATTCAATACGTCCGAAATGGCTTCCAACCGACGGACCAACTCCATGCAATAGGCGGACGATCTTATCCTTGACTTATTTTTAAAGTTGGGCTTATATAAGAGCATCTTGCAAAATCACGATAGGGCGTATTTTCGAAGAAATACGGCCCTTGTGAAATTTGATGACCGGGTCAAAGCCTGATCAGTGTGTGCACATACACAACAAACGGTCTCTGTTGAACAGTTCGGCTTATTGGAGTACATCTGGGAGTGAATAAGATTATAAAACGGTTGTATAAGCACACACATTATTATTCTTTCTGCAACGAACACATTTGCACAGCGAAGAACATACTGTAAAATGACAAAGATCTCTTTCTACGAAGGACATATAAAAATGTTAATTATTGCTCGGTAATAAATACAGGTCAGAATATTAACGTTCCCTATTTAGAGGAAACATCAGTGAAAAAACAATGTTATAGTTTGTCTTCGAAGAATAACCTTTTCCCCTTAGCAATATCAACATCTCTTCTAGCAGCTGTGAATGAGTATTATATTCTCTGTATAACGACCACAGGACCGACATCTGACATAATGAGGCCAACACTCGACGTAATGAGGCCGACACGACGCAATTTGGCCGAGACTCGTCACAATCAGGCCGACACTCGACACAATGAGGCCGACACTCGAAGCAATCAGGCCGACACTCGACGTCATCAGGTCGACACTCGACAACTTATCGGAAAGGCAAAGCGGTCATACAATCAAAATGCTGCTAGAACATTCCGAGTTGGAATTCTGCGCTGGTGCTGCTAAAGATAAGGACGGAATGCTAATGGGAATGTCCCGAGAGCTGTTATATCAGTTCTAACTCAGTTCTACTCTAATGAATAGATGTACAAATACTTGCAAAGAGCAACATTGTAAAAAAAAAAAACAACAATGCCAACATTTCTTGTTCAGTTAGGAGCATAATTAGAAATGTAAATCTTCCGCTCTTTGACACACATTTTGTGAAGTAACCAATATTTCTCGTGCAACGAGCAGTACACTTCAGATGTCACTATTTCTTATTCAGTCAGGAACATACTGAATAGTGTCATTATCTCTGGCTATATCTAGACCCCTGAGCACATATTGCAGTACTGCCCTTACCTCTCCCAGCAAAGACTGTGGATCTGGCCCAGGGGATCCACATTGCTAGAGAAGCTATGGGGGACCGGTGGCGACCTTAAACGCACAATCCTATTTTTGACCCAGACGGGACTCAATGTTTAGCATGACTGATGTCGAACGCAGAAGAAGAAGAAGAAACTATCTCTCGCGCAGTGATAGACATATGGATGGATTTATATCAGTACTCATTGTGCAAAATGGCAGCTATTTGTGTGTCCAGATTTCTCACCCAATGAGGCATATAAGAATAAATATAAATGCACACTGTGCAGAGTAAAATATAAACATTATTCCCTTTTGCAGAGTGGACTATATTTATAAATGTCAGCATGTTTTATACATCAGGGGGACATGTTAACATATCAATATACATTGTGTAACGGAAAGCGTATTTAAAATATCGACTTACATTGTGCAGTCAGAAACGTATTCATACCTATAAATTTATCGTGTGCCGAGAGGCGCATATTTATCATCATCATCATCAGGTGATTTGCCGACTGGTATGGGCGACCTTGCCTCTCCACAATCTGCGATCTCCTGCAGCATGAATCAGTTCGTGTGCCGACACACCTCCATGCCATGCAGCAAGACTGTCATGAATCTTCTCTCGTTGTCTTCCTCTATCCCTCCTTCTACAGATACTTTGAGTGGTCACAACGTGTTCCATTTTCCCTCTTTTCATAACATGGCCGAAATATGATGACTGTCACTTTCTGATGTCTGTGATGAGTTGTCTTCGGGCTCCCCCCTCTTTCAAAACCTCTTGGTTGTTCATTTTGGCTGTCCAAAGTATTTTAAGCATTCTTCTGTAAAACCACATCTCTGATATTTATACATATTTATACATGTCATTATTCCTTATGCAGGTACCATATTTACAAACGCAAGTATTTCTTGTGCGGCGAAGAACACATTTTTAAATGTCATTACTGCTTGTCCATCGAGGAACATACTAAGAAATGTCAGCAGACTTCTTAACAGCGGGCAGCAATGATCAAACATACAAATGTTACATTCTTTACAAATAAAGAACGGCTTGTGTCCAACATAGAGGACTACCGGGTTTCATGTATACTTAAAAGCAAATGTGAACATCCTTAGTAAGAGAAGGGAAGCCTGCATTATTGTACAGCACGGCTATTCAACCAAGTTTACCCAGGGCCAACATTTTGAAAATCTGGATCGTCACGGGTCAGAGGTCAGAGCCCCAGCATAGAAAGATCATTAAAACAATATAACTGGTAATGATCCGCGGGCCACTTACCAGGCCTCAGCATGCCACATGTAGCCCGCAGGCCGCCAGTTGAATAGGCCTGTTGTACATTGAGGAACATATCTAGAAAAGTCAAATGTTCGTGTGCAAAGTGAAGCGGTCTGTTCCCTGTATTATGAATGAACAAGCACATACATGTCAGTGTCGTTTAATGTGTGTGTGAACAGGCGTCAGTCAGTCAGTTAATTAATAAAACAAACCCCATTTCCACACCGTTGGTCAGCTGTAACACTCGCTAATTCCCTCTGTACTACGTCTTTGTGTTGGGTGAATGTAATCGTCTTGAAGTCCATCTCTTGACTTCTCTTTTTTGTGTTCACTGGTTATAACTCCAGAGGAAAGTCCTGGCTGTTCCTTTACATCTGGACGAATTCTAGAACAATTTTCATCTCTGGATGAATTCCTTGAGCAATGAAGATTTCTAAATCAAATAAAGCAGTGATGGACTCGATGCACTCAGTCATTCCAGTACTGCACATGGTGCATGATTATTACATATCCGCGCACAGTGACGCACTTTCTTACAAATGCCGAAACCACTCAAAGTAGTCGAGTTCCTTGTACAACCAGTCCATGTAGTTGGGCAGTCTGGTGAACACATTCGGGAAGTTGTTGGCCGAGCAGTTGTTGATGAGCCAGGACATGACGCCAGCTACGTAGAATCTGCCTTCTCTCTCACACATCAGGGGTCCGCCGGAATCTCCCTGAAAACCAACAGACAATAGGTCAAAAGTTACATAATGACCAAGAGACAGTAAGACTTCTAAAACTATGATAATGCAATGTTATGAATTATTTAAAGTTTGTTGCGTATCCTTTACAGGACACTGCAGAACCAACCCCAGCATTTGTGTGTGGATTTTCCTAGGTACATTTTACGTTCAATAGTTTGCCATTGCCCCTGAACAGCCAACTCTCGGTACCACTGTCGAAACCATCGTAAGATGAACTAAAAGCAGCTGGGATCGAACAAGCTCGTTCGCAACGCCTAAGCCACAGACGCGACTTTTATGACTAGACTTTTAGAAACAGCTGGGGTAGTGGCCACACACTGACAATCTATACTTGGCTCACTGGGTACACGTTGCCCCCTTTTCAATCTTAGTGGAAATGGCTAGGTTTCTATATCTTACCATACGGACTTAAAAAAGTCAAAAGTGTTATGGCAATGCGGAGTTCGCCCTTTATTCAAGAAAGTGTGGATCTTATGTGACACCAGCCAGTAACTACAGTCAGCTTTTACTTTGGTTCTTGGAAATTGTTCAATAGAATTGAGAGGCAAACAGATCTTAGAGTAGAGCTGTTTTTTGAGCGTGAACTCGGACCACAAGGAGTTTGTCACTCGGTCGCCGCACAGCTGGTTTAACCAACTTAGCTAGCGCGCCAGACAATAGAGCTGTTAAAATAAATTACACGTTTATGAACGAACAACGAACAAACTTTATTTTCAAAGGGTTAAGAATTGGGCACGCAGGCTTGTCTATCATTCTGCCCTCCTAGTCCACAAACACACACACACACACATTTTCATACATCTTTTCATTTATACATCAAGTGACAGTAAACATCAAAATAGTCAATACAAGCACATTTATAACTACAGAAAACCTTAGTAGTCATAATAAATCTTAGGAAGATGTGCGCTATTTCTAAAATAATTTTTATCTTCCATGGGAGCATGTAAACTGTGCTCAAATGTAGAATTTTTGACTTGCTGTGGAAGATAGTTCCACAACTGAGCTGCAGAGTACGCAAAACCGTTTAAAAAAAATGATGGAGCACATTATAAGAGCTTGCATCATTCGTGTGGTGTCATGTGGATGTGAGATATTATTTAATAGTTGCAAAAAAAAAAAAACGACAATTTTGACTACTGCCAGAAAAAAAGTTACTGGAACACAATACGTCAAAGAGAAGAAAAATGCTTATATTCTACAAGATCTGAACATTGCAGAAAATGGGTCTTTAAACAGCGGAACATACTGGGACACTGAAATACGTCTAACCATATTACTTGTAGTGATTTAAAAAGAACAACAATGGAAGGCATTGTTTCCGAAACAAAACAAAACAAAAAAATCTCCATGGGTCAACAATAACATAGGTGTGCACATGACATTAGAGTGAGAGGCATATTGGACCCGAAAGTACACGAGGCATTGGACTGGCAAAGAACCTAGAATCTTTCGTGTAGTCTGTGATTCGGTCAGTGTTCTTCAAAGGGATTGATAGATGTTAATAGTGACAGCGACACGGAGTCCTTTACTCATGGCAACGTTGTATGAGCTACACAGGTGGGCAGCGACGAGTATCTGGCACTAATGCGACTACATGACCTGTACGCACATCTGGCAAAGGATGTCTATGCTTGAAGGGCAAGACAGAAAATATAACAGACTTTGTATGGTAAATGTCAGTAGAGATACACTAAGATGACTGCTTCTCAGAGGATTGAGCAAGCATGGAAATGCCCGATGTGCCTTAATGTCGATCGTAATAATGCACTATAAATAACAGGTCACTTACGTAACAAGCTCCTGTGTCTCCATACCCCAGGCACACTTGACTGTCTAAAACATCGATATCAACACGTCCCCACATTGGCTTGCACTGATCATGTGACATTACGTCTACTGGAACCTCGTTCATCACGTTCTCTTTTCCACCGGAACCTGGGAATGAAGAAATTGAAATATTCATTACAAATGAGGCTTATTATGTTTGCGTCATTATAAACAGTTTTTCTTCTTCTCTTGATATTTCTGATGCCTGCTTCTTATTCCTCCTCGACATTCTGTGGATGATGTTGTCAATACCACGCCGGTCGCCTTTACTTCCCAGGACTGTACTCAGAACCCAATCAAGGCTGGGTCGAGCAGAAGTGATAATAAGATCATAAATATAAAATATAACCTCAAGGACAGAATAGGTTAAAGTAATTTTCGTCAGTCACTAAAGATATGTAGGGATTCTCAACAGATGTTTTGGTCATTTAAAAGATTCGAAGCTTTAAACAACGGATCAACATCATGGCACACGGGTGTAACTAATATGTGCTCCGTTCTACTTATAACTCAAGCCTGAGTCCGAAGAATCTCAGCGCAGTGCACGAGCCCTGCAGCACCGGCGAGGATCCTGAAATACTTTGGGTAGATTTTTAACTCCAAATTTTGCCACTCTTTTTGATATTCAACTACCAATTAATTTTTTACGTACGCAACAATACACACGGGCGTCCGATCTCACTACACAGAGACCGTAGGAAGTTGCTAGAAGTCCACGTGAAAAAATCCCAGCCTTCACCAGGACCTGAACCCTGGACTCCAGCACTCGAGGCGGACGCCATGCCTCGAGACCACGCAGCCCCCCCCCCTGGTCATTTAAAAGTAACTGATTAATGTGTATTGCGTTTAGTGCAAGATGAGTTAATCGTTAATGCAAGATATGTTAATCGTTAGTGCAAGATGAGTTAGGCAATCGTTAATGCAAGGATGACTTACCTCGGGTTTCCCCCCATCCGCTTATCCAACAGTTTGTTCCGGGGGTGAGTGGAAAGTCCGAGTCCGGAAGACAAGCCGTCTGTACGTCCCCAGAGGTCAAGTCTACCGGCGAGTCCAGTTCTAACAAGGCAACATCGTTGGGGAAGTTGCTACTCCGAAAATATTCTGGATGCTGGAAACAAGAAAACAATGGTATTTATTTTCTTCGCTTAACTTTGGTATGTGATTATTATAACAACATTGCATACTGTAATTAATGCTTAGGATTATGATACAAAATACTGCTCTCAATTATTTTGGCATCAACACAGTAACATGTGAGGTTGCTATACAGGCCCGTTCTGGATGGCGTAAATCCCCCAGGGCTGATGCATCAGCCTGCCAGGCAGCGGAGGTTGCACAGGGGAAGCAACCGGGGGTGGGGAGGTGGGGGCAGACTAGAAAGAACCATATCGCTAATCCGGTACTTACTGCGGCTTTCATCTGCTGTCCGCACTGCTCAAGAACTTTCCAGAATCTATTGGACTAGTCAGCCATCTTCGCACTCATAATCATTGATCATTACTACTTTGGATGAAAAGTGGTCTTCGTTACTCATGATGGACAAATCGAACACATTAAAAAATATAGCTAAATTTATAGCACAGCAAGAGTGCTTTTATCATAAACTGGTGTAATCTCAATGAAAATATAAATGTTAACCTACGTCCCAGTATTATTTACGATGTCCAAAAAAGTTGATATGCACAAATTACATATTAGTGACGTTCTAACATTTGTTGCGATGGAGTTCGTTCAAGCAATATTGCTACTGTCTGGTGTGAATTCGGCAAAGTAGCAATACTCATATTAGAACCGTCTTTGTAGAAAATGCAGAAAATATCCATCGCGGGTTTCCAGACACTTTTTGATACGCTTCTTCAAATTGTCCAAGACAGTGATTCACAAACTGTGCGCCGCGACGGGCTGGGAAGCCGCGACCTCTTCACAGGGGCGCGGCCAAATATTGTAAAAGCTTCATAATTACTTTAGCCAAGACACGAATAATCATACTGTTACCTAGGTTAGGGCGCTGTGGAAAAAATTTAATTGAAAAAATGCTCGCGACCAAGAAAAGTTCGGGAAACACTGGTCTAAGACATTTTGCAAGATAGGCAGTGAGGTTTGAATAATGTTGGTGCTGGTCGATTCTCTAAGTTCATCAAGTCAGTGGGAGCTTCGTAGGTCAGGGCGAGGAGCATTGTCTGGTCTTTTCTCCGGGTCGTATCGGTGAATTTAGAGGAAACAGAAAAGGATTTCTGTTTCTCTTTTTAAGGCTGCAACTTGACGATTGCTAGCCGCATCTTTATAGTAGGTTACACAAGCTGGTGTTGCGACCATTTCTGTGTGGGCACGGTTCAAAGCAAACAAATGGTATGCATTGTTTACAGTGAGGGTTCACATAAAGGGAAGGTCCACACAAAAATTGGACCCACACACTTGATGATGGTTATATGACAACTTACGCTGATTATTCTTCTGATACTTCTGTAAATCTCATTTCCGGACACAGATTCCAAGTCATAATCCGCCATCACCACTCGCCAGTTGACGGTATCGCCGTAGAACGGTCTGTTGACAGAGAGGGCAGATAATATTAGTGGGTCATTGATATGAACTATTTCGTAGAACACGGGAGTGTTTAGTAAAATGGAGACAAGAAATATTTTATTCTTAATATGATTATGTTTAGGCTGTTTTATGACGCTTTCTTTCTTTCTTTCTTTCTTTCTTTCTTTCTTTCTTTCTTTCTTTCTTTCTTTCTTTCTTTTCTGCCTTTATTTGCCTCTGCATTCCCTGCTTGTTAATATTTTCTGAATATTTTATGTATTTACCGTTTGTTTTCTGCAATTGATATCCAAACTAAAGACCCCGACCCACCTCTCCCCGAGCCCGGGTTTCATCAAAGCCTACCCAAACTGAACTACAAATATCTTCTTACCGAATAATGGTGCAACAAGTTATCTGTGCTAGATGGTTATACAACTGAACAGGGTTTCCATGTTGTTTACCTTTGATTCTCATTCTTGAGATGTTAATCGTGGAGACTGCAATCCTAGAGGGGAAACAACTCTCTCCTCCTCTCATACAGTCTTAAATCTCCCTCCCTCTCTCTCTCTCTCTCTTTTTCACACACACACGTAGTCTTAAATCGCTTTCCCTTTCTCTGTCTCACAGTCTTAAATCTCTCCCTGTCTCACACAAACAGTCTTTAATCTTTCTCTCTCCTCTCCTCTCTCTCTCTCTCTCTCTCTCTGTGTCAAACAAGTCTTATATACATATATATATATCTTACACAGTCTTAAATCTCTCTCTCTCTCTCTCTCTCTCTCTCTCTCTCTCTCTCTCATAGTCTTAATTCTCTCTCTCTCTCTCACACACACAGAGTCTTAAATCTCTCTCTTTCTCTATCTCTCTCTCTCTCTCTATTTCTCTTATTCCCACAGTCTTAAAAATATCTCCCCCTCCCACACACACACAGTCCTAAATCTCTCTCTCTCTCTCTCTCTCTCTCTCTCACACATAGTCCTAAATCTCTCTTTCTCTCACACAGTCCTAATTCTCTTCTCACACATTATTAAATCTCTCTATCACACACACATTCACAGTTTCAAATCTCTCTCACTCTCACACACAGTCCTGAATCTCTCTCTCTCGCTCACATACACAGTCTTAAATCTCTCTCTCTCTCTGTCTTAAATCTCTCTCTCTCTCTCTCTCTCTCTCTCTCTCTCTCTCTCTCTCTCTCTCTCTCACAGTCTTAAATCTCTCTCTCTCTCTCTTTCACTCTTAAATCTTTCTCTCACTCACATAGTCTTAAATCTCTCTCTCTCTTTCTCTCTCTCTCTCACTCACTCTTAAATCTTTCTCTCACTCACATAGTCTTAAATCTCTCTCTCTCTCTCTCTCTCTCTCTCTCTCTCACACACACTCTTAAATCTTTCTCTCACTCACACAGTCTTAAATCTTTCTCTCACTCACATAGTCTTAAATATCTCTCTCTCTCTCTCTCTCACTCTTAAATCTTTCTCTCTCTCACACACTCTTAAATCTTTCTCTCACTCACATAGTCTTAAATCTCTCTCTCTCTCTCACTCTTAAATCTTTCTCTCACTCACACAGTCTTAAATCTCTCAATCTCTCTCTCTTTCTCTCACTCACTCTTAAATCTTTCTCTCACCCACATAGTCTTAAATCTCTCTCTATCTCTCTCTCACTCTCACTCTTAAATCTTTCTCTCACTCACATAGTCTTAAATCTCTCTCTCTCTCTCTCTCTCTCTCTCTCTCTCTCTCTCTAACACTCTTAAATCTCTCTCTCACTCACATAGTTTAAATCTCTCTCTCTCTCTCTCTCTCTCTCTCTCTCATACACAGTATTCAATCTCCCGCGCTCTCTCTTTTTCACTCTCTCTCTCGCCCACTGACACACACACACACACACACACACAGACACACACACCCTAACTCCTGTATCAAAATAAAATGAGAGCAAACAGCAAACCAGGGACCCCACGACGTTAGACAAGAGTGCTAGTGATCATCAAGACAGTTGAACTAACCTCGCCCTGTAGGGACGCAGATTTTTAAATTCTTTAAATTTTATTTTAAAACCCCTCCCCGGCTGTAGTCGGGGATCCTACTACTGGAGAAGAACGGGGTTTCCAGGACTTGTACTCGGATGATTCTCATCTGGATGGTGGCACTTTGTGTCACCGGGTGTTTGTCTTACGTTGTGCTGTCCTGGTAAGGTTAAACGTCACTCACTTATCAAGACAGACACCTCACTCAAAACAGCAGGCACTCCTAGTAAACCTACCCCTCCACACAGTGTGCAGCAGTCAGCACCCATCTGGCATGGACAAGCACGCCCCCACAGCGGTGCCAGGGAGTTGTTGACGTGGCGATCTGCAGCGACACTTGCCATGGCCACTGTCCGGCTCGGGATTTCCGGCCTCCGATGATCAGGGGTGTTGCCATGACACCGCATCGATCTGTAGAAGAAGGAGTATGGACGCATGTTATATGTTGTTATACGATACTTTGTAATATATTAATTGGCAGGACAAAATCACAAACACTGAGGTACTGGAAAGAGCAGGCACTACAACAGTCTTCTCAATGCTCAGTCTACGAAGGCACAGGTGGCTGGGTCACACCTGTAGATTGAAGGATGGCAGAGTCCCCAAGGACATCCTTTACGGTGAATTAAAGACGGGTAGAAGATGTCGAGGCTGACCTCTACTACGATATAAAGATGTGTGCAAGCGGGACATACATGATACATCTATTGAGGTGGACTCATGGGGGCAAAATGCCATGGACCGTGTTGTGTGGAGAGGGCATATCAGGAAGGGAATGCGAGTGAAGGAAGAATTGATTGCAGAAAAGATGAGAGCTGAGCGTCTGAAAAGAAACGGATTAAACACAAGTGTTGATAACAATGGTCCTGAAATCCCGTGCTATCATTGTGAAAGACTTTTTTTGAAACGGACGGGTCTTGCTAGTCACACGGGCCATCGCCATAGGCTGTGCGTCTCATGCCTCCTCATAGCGCAACATAACACTATCGTCTGGAAAGACGGAACGCTGCCAATGAAGTATTACATTGTATCATAGTCACCTTGTTGAAGTGCATTGTCACAGACGGCCTTTCCAAACACTGATCTTTCAAACAACAATTGTATTTTATCTGTGAAGCATGTTATGTCCATGAAACAATCTACGTAATATGAATATCAAGTAGTACATACAAAATATGGGTGGTAAATACATGCATGCATGCATACATACATACATGCCATACATACATATACGTACTCACGTACGTACGTAAAAACACACATATGTACATACATAACCACACTTGCACGTGTGCGCATGCACATACTCATACATACACACGCATACAGACGGACGCTTCCGCATACCTATACATACACACACTCATATTTATGTACTCTTATATATCCATACCTATACATATACCCATAACATATTTATACACACAGAATCACACGTATACATAATAAACACACGCATAGATATAACTACTTTCAGGCAAATGCATACACATATACAAGAGATGCATAGATAGACATCACAAACACACACACACGCATATATAAATGCATATATATATATATATATATATATATATATATATATATATATATATATATATATATATATATATATATATATATATATATATATATTCACACACACACTCACACACACATACATACATACGCCTACAAACTTAGTATCATATATTTACACATGTACCAGACATTCATACACACATCACACACACACTGATATATTCACTTTGTACATACACTCTTTCTCACACACCTTCACCCTGCCAAGCACATTTATAAACATTAATACATACAAATTCTTACTTACACATACACACAGACACTCATACATATCGTTACATACACACACTCCTACATTTAAAAACATCCCCACACATTTATACATACCCATACACACTCATACATACACACACAATACTTTATACACATTCACCCAAACTTATACATACACGCACACATAACCAGACACACGCACTGTTAAATACACACGTGTATAATAATGCATACATACACTCTCACAGACACATACCTGAACCCACACTCATACGTCTCATACGTTTGCACGTGTGCATTCCGACTCTTACATACAAATCCCCACGTTCATAGATGTAGACACTCATACATAGACACACTCTTACACATTATACGCTCCACATACGCACACATGCATTCACAAATATACACGCATACTCTCATACTTATATGTACACACATGAACTAACACTCGCACATACACATATCTATCCCCACGTTCATACATTTAGACACTCATACATACACACACTCATACACATTAAACGCTCCACATACGCACACATACACTCACAAATATACATGCACACTCTCAAACTTATTTGTACACACATGCAAGAACACTCATACACATATACTCATAAATAAATTTACGTTTATAAATTCATATACATGCACAAATACACATGCATACCCTCACATTCGTGTATACACAGGCACATATACATTCAGACACATACATACACATACATAGCCATACACGCGTGCATACACATACACACACTCACATTCCTACATACATATACTAACTCATACATACATACATACACAGTCATGCATACACACTCGCTTACATACCATTGTATGCTTTCACACATACTCATAAATATCTACATATACACCGGCACCTATACATATACACACGCCTGTATAACCGTGACACACTCAGAAACAATAAAATTACACCGTTTCTGCTTAACAAGCGTATCGTAAAAAAAAGTAGTAGTTACACATTTGATGACACGACCCACGATATTACCTAGTCACAACCCATGATATTACCGTCAGTCACAACCCATGATTTTACCGACAGTCACAACCTATGATATTACTGTCAGTCACAATCTATGATTTTACCGACAGTCACAACCTTTGATATTACCGTCAGTCACAATCTATGATTTTACCGACAGTCACAACCTATGATATTACCATCAGTCACAACCCATGATGTTAACGACAGTCACAACCCATGATATTGCCGTCAGTCACAACCCATGATATTACCGTCAGTCACAACCCATGATGTTACCGACAGTAACAACCCATGATGTTACCGACAGTCACAAACCATGATGTTACCGACAGTCACAACCCATGATGTTACCGTCAGTCCCAACCCATGATATTACCGTCAGTCACAACCCATGATGTTACCGACAGTCACAACCCATGATATTACCGACAGTCACAACCCATGATGTTACCGACAGTCACAACCCATGATGCTACCGACAGTCACAACCCATGATGTTACCGACAGTCACAACCTATGATGTTACCGACAGTCACGACCCATGATGTTACCGACAGTCACAACCCATGATGTTACCGACAGTCACAACCCATGATGTTACCGTCAGTCCCAACCCATGATATTACCGTCAGTCACAACCCATGATATTACCGACAGTCACAACCCATAAGGTTACCGACAGTCACAACCCATGATGTTACGGACAGTCACAACCCATGATATTACCGACAGTCACAACCCATGATGTTACGGACAGTCACAACCACATCTATAACGCTCTATTTGAGGTATTTATTCGATACAGCAGTGGTTGCTAAATCGCTGAGGCCTGAAGATCTCACGCCCCTCCTCACTTTTTTGTGTGAGCAGAGGTTTGCCACCGACCCCACACTTTTTGATAGTGGTACTGAAGAACTTATAAATGATAAATACAGTGGAACTTCGCTTAACGAGCATAATTCGTTCCAGAATCATACAATTTTACTTATTTAAATAAATGTAAAATATGATAATGCGTTTCATGTCGAAATAAATTCTCACAAAATGCTATGCATAAAGTTTACTCAAAGAAAATTATATACATATTGTGAAGGAGAGTGAATCATCTTCATCTTTTCTGGAATGCGAATTCGTTTGCAGAAAAAAAAAAGTCGAAATAATTATGAAACATAGCTAATTACTTTTTTTTACTAGAAAGATGTCCAGAGATATTTGTTTTTGCCGACGCTTCAAAATTTGGCGAAAATGCTACACAGCATTAACATTAAATAAATTTGCAACGCGCATAGCCACTTCCTTATTAGGGTGATGCTTCTCAATGTAAGATGCAACAGTTTCCCATGCTTTCAGCATTTCTCTTATTTCGCTAGAAGATTGTTGCTTTTCTGTTACCTCCTCCTCCTCCTCTGATAAACTTTTCTCCAAAACTTCTTCTTGTGAAACACAATCCAACTCCATATGCTCTTGGGTGTTCAGCTCTTGGTTGTGTTCTTCCACAAGCTCTTCGATATCACTGTTATCCACCTACAATCCCATGATAGTGGCCAAAGACACAATCTCGTTGACTACAGGTTCCACAGGTACTGTCTCGAACCCCTCAAAGTCACAAATCGACAAAGCTCACCGCTCAAACGCTCTCTAGGTAACCCCTCCCCCGCCTTGTCGATCATCTTGAGGCAGGCAACGATGTGGAAGTGATTTTTCCAAAACTCTTTGAGAGTGAGGTTGGTCCCTTCGGTCACCTGAAAACAATGCTCGAAGAGTGCTTTAGTGTAGAGATTTTTAAAGTTAGAAATAACTTGATGGTCCATGGGCTGGAGAAACTGAGTGGTGTTGGGAGTCAGAAACTGGATATTCTTCAGAGAGGCCATCTTGTACGCCTGGAGGATTCATGTACATATTTCACAATATAACACAAGTTTGAGAAAATGTGTGATTGCAAGCGACACTTCGATGCTACTGGAACGAGTGCTAAACACAGACTGATGTAACATGCGCACAATTCGGGACTTTTCCCTCTCCTCGCAACTCGTTATGCGAAAAGTCGCTCGTTAAGCAAGTTTTTTTTAAAACAATTTGTTTTGCTCGTTATGCGAATTACTCGTTATGAGAGTTGCTCGTTAAGCGAGGTTATACTGTATTCAAATATTCAAAAGTATAACATTCTATAGCTGAGGTTTGTGTATGTGTTAAAGGTTAAAGATACAATTTGAGAGGATTGACTTTATTGCAACGGATGTTATCCCACATGGCCTGTCTCTCTTCACAGAACGACTAGCCCGCTGCTTGGACCGTCGCACCGAGCAGGAACACCGCAGCCACGGCAACGATCCCTAAGAATCGCACTCGTTGACCGAACGACGCAACCATTAAACGAGCCCACGACGTTCAGAGCATGAGGCAAACGGTTTGACCGCTTCGGAATGGAGACACCCTTCAGTGGTTATTTTGGATGTAAATATTTCCTTTTATGTTATTTTTCTGTTCGTTGCAAAAGTGGGAAACACTGGGATAGGAATATTACTGAATTATGGTTCTTGTATCGTCATTTCCACCGTTTACATAACCTCTTTGAAACTATTTGTAGACATTTCATTTTGTT